TGAAATTCTGGAGAATCAGCATCAGTCAGATGAGACAATACTGACCTATGTGGACCAGTGATGTGACTCAGAGAATACATCCATAAATAAACCATTTTTTAAAGCCCAATTTGTGCATAAGCCATAATGATCCATTTCACACATAACACTTAAAATACACTGGGTGGGTTCACATGTTAAGTATAAACAAACCACATGATGGTTTAGTGGAATGTGTGAACAAGGTCAAAATTGCAGCTTCCTATGAAATGGCTTTGTAGAGTCTGTGTTTATATATACATAGGATTTTCCTATCTTTGCAAGAATGAACCAGCTAAAGAGGCAAAGAAAATCTATTCTTAATGGGATTGTATTTTGTAGTTGTCTGAGGAAAACCTCAGACTGGGGTTTATTTTTTGGAGGAGGGTTGATATTTATTGCTACAACAGATTTCAGGCTTCAATATGCTAATGGATTATTGTGTATTTGTTTTCTTAGTATAGGCGATACTATGATAGTTTGGAGACAATTATTTATTCCTATTGGGTTCTCTTATAACTCATGCCAAAAAAGTGCAGTATAAAACTATAGGAAATTAGGTTTGCTCTTGGTATACTTTGAATAGGGAACAATATTGGTAAAATCAATTGAAAAATGTTTCTGAAGCAGAAATACCTGCTTCATTTGCAGCAGATGCCAGCTGTATATTATACCAGTTGAGTGACATCTTTTCATGCCATCAGGAAACCTCTCTTCCACTTCCTGTAGTAAATTTCCATCAAAATGTCTCAAACAATTGTTTCCATTTAGAAATAAACAAGAATGTGAATGAATGTTTAAATGCATGAACAGTCAGATGGTGATGATGATGATAATAAAAAAGAAACTCTGTAGGGAAAAAACTGAACCGGTGTTACTTCTTATTTTTAAGAAATTGTTGCTGTGGAAATGTATTGTTTTACTCATGTAGTCAAGCTGAGTTATGCTCACCTGGCAATTATGCAGTATAGCCCTCCTTTAATATTATGTTGCCAATAATTTACTAAGCAACGCCAAGAAAGGCTTAATCTCGAGGTAGATGAAATGGAAGCACCTTGATGATAGAGCACCCTTCCTCAGCCTGGAGGCATTTAGATAGGTTGGGCTACAGCTTCTGTAATTCCTAGCAGACACAGTCAAAACCACAGAGCTTGAGAATTATATCACCTGCTGTCAAATCTTCCAAAGTTTTGGAGAAGGCTGCATTTTGGCTTGAAACCCATTTTATGAAAATGAATAGGACCTATTTTTAGGACTGGGATGATAGATTCTACTTTTTCTATCACCCCTGTCCTCCTTGTACTTATCTAGGTTTATTTCATAGCTCCTGGGCTTAAAAGTTTTGCGAAATTTGCTTTCAACTTTTCAAACCTTATATGCTGCTTTTACTGCAGCTGTGGAGTTACTGAAAATGGGACACCAGATCACCTCAAGTAAACAGAGGAGATACTCAGAAAAGATGGAAGACAAAATAAGTGTTAATATTTTGTAAGGGATGGCATTATTTCCTTAATAAGATGACTCTTGGGACATTCCTATGTCATATCTAGGGGTGTTCATATTGACATATTGACCCCTAGAGTGGAATGCTATCACAGTGAACATTGTAAGTTATATTATTGCAGCTGCTATTAATTCAAAGTCATTTCAAAGTCAGCCACTGTTTCATTGTAATTTTATTTGATGTAAAACTACATCAGATAGGATTTACATAGAACCATGAGCTATGCAACAATTTCACACAATTCCATGCAGGGAACTACAAGATCAATGAGAAAGGAGGATGAGCAGTCCATGCTCAAGAGGATATACAGTACATATAATGAACAGAATTACTCTGGCTGCCTGTATTCACATAGTACACTAGGAGGGGAAGTGTACATCCATTACAACCTAAATGGAGAAAGGCGTATTTTGCCTGCGTACATATCAGTCCCTCTGTTTACGTGCATAAAGATTCCCTTATGACTTTGGGAGATGCTTGGGAAGGGTAGCTGAGTGTGATAACTTCTGCAACACAGGAAAATTTTGTGCATCCTGCTTTTGCTATCTGGAGTTTTGTTTCTTGTATTATATTCAAGTGATGAAAATATATATCGTAGAACTTTTTTTTCAGGTTTCTGAGCATAAACTGAAGTGGGACAGAAGAAGTCCCACTCCCTAGTTAGCGAGAATGACAGAACAAGGGCAGTGTTGCTTTGTGGGGAGGAGCACAGCTCAGTGGAGAGAACATGTGCTCTGAATGCAGGAAGTTGTAGTTCAGTCTCTGGTATCTCCGGATACATCTTGGAAGGACTTCCCACATAAAATCCAGGACAACTTCTGCTAGTAAATATAGAAAATATTGGACTAGATGGGCCAGCAGTCTGACCAAGTATAAGTAGCTTCCTATGAACTTAGTCTATATGGGCCTCAGAAGAAAGCAATATAAGTAGTATGGGTGATGGGATAGATTCTTGGAAGCTGAAAATTCCTGGGAGTGGCATTAATAGCACCTCCCCATAACACCGGTGGAACTGCCTGTGTATATTATACATTATTTACTGATACACACATTAGGCATATTAATCAATTTCTTACCATCCAGCACTTGATGGCTTTGCTGAATGTACAAAATGCTTCTACCAAAAAATAGGTTGTTTGGGCTGATATTGTAAGATGCAAATGCTCTCCCTGTGATTATGAGCCTGACCTGGCCTATGCTTCATTCATATGTGCACAGAGCAGTTGAATTGGCAGTCAGCTTGCCATAGCAGTAATATATGAAATATAACTTCCTTTCTTTAGAACAGTATTCTTTAATTGAATAGCATTTGCCTGGAATTCAGGTGGAGGACAGGCTTAGTTGCTTCTTGCAGAAATAGGATGCAACAAGTTAGCATGATAATTCAATAATTCCAAAGGGTACGCTGCTGGCATTTTACACAAAAATCAGCACACCTGAGGGAGCTGTCCACTTAAACAAGCAAAAACAAAAAAATCTGGCAGATTCCTACGGAGAGTGCCAAATGGGTTTATTGGCAGTTTCTGTCCTAGATGGCCATTTGTCAAGGTAAATCATCAGGAATCTGTCTTGGGTAGGCAATATTCCAGCATAAACACTGGAGCACTAGAGGGAGGACCAAATGATTAGGGAGAAAAGCTTATAGTAGGTGGCTAGAGGTATACTGAAAGAGAAAATGAGTTGAAATAATGGCCAACGGTCTGCACAACAAAATGAGAAACAGGAAGAAGCAGGTGTGGTTTAGTAGATACAGGATTGCCATGTTCGCTTGGAACTGCTACCAAAAAGTTACATCTTGAAACTGTCTATTTTTTGTGTTCTGTGAAATATTCTATTACAATCTTCATACATCCTGGCCAAAATTCTGCAAAACTGTGCAGAGAATATGGCCTATTTTCTATAAAGAGCTAAATCCGCAGATTGCCAGCAGTGTGAAACCAAAGTGATGATATCCTCACTGGAGAAACAATGTAGTCTTCTTTTATGAATAGCCGTAGGGAAGCCCCACATGAATTGGACAGTGGCTGCACGCACAAGGTATTTGCAGCATTCACAAATAGATGCTGCTTTGTCTGCCTATGTATTCTGTCTGGGCTGGAGATGAAGCTGGACTAATGAGTCATCCCCTGGAATACAAATTTCACAGTTGGAATTCAGATCAGTTACTTTCTTGACAGCACAAAGGCAAAATCAGGGTTCTGCTTGTTCTTTCTGAACCACCTTCGTTCTACACAGGGAACTGGAGAAGTTGCTCTCCCACCCCACCTCATTCTTCTTAATTTGCTTTTAGCAACTGTGTGAGTAGCAGAAATTCAACAGGTACAATCTTCTCCAGCATATAGATGCAATGATGTAAACCACTGGTTAATATTTCCTTTCTATGTAAAGGATAAAGACCCAAGATGACACTTCAGAAAAAAGACATAGCCAAGGTACAAGCATTACTATTGCCCACAGCTCCTGTTTTGATACAGGTGCTTTTATGTGGGAGTCAGTTTGAAATAAAGTGTACTTACAATGAAATTGTCATATAAAGAGCGAAGCAAGCTCCAAGTTTTTGCATGCCAACACTTATGAGCTCATGGATAACTCTTGGCATATTAAATTAATCTCAGTGAAGCAAAAAATAAAGCAAGGAGAAGACTAGCTTATGAATTTGTGTGTGCCTGCTTAGCAAGAAATGGGGAAATCAAATGCATCTAACCAAGACAGAAGGGATTATTCAAATCAAGCCAGTCAGAGCAAGGAGACAGGACAGCTGTGTCTCCTGCCTGTTCCTCCCTGGGTCTTCTGGCCTACATTCATTCCACTATGCTGTTTTTACACTTTATACTAAACCATGGTTTAATCAATCCATTGTTGTGTGGCTTTACACATATGCTATAGCCAGCTTGGGTTCAAACAATCTATTAAATTATAAACCAAACGAAACAAACCATTTTATGGTTTGGTGTGATCAAACTGCTAGGTATGTCAAACAGAGAACAGGGGACGAAATGCGTAGCATGGACTAAATACATTTCCTGCTATCCTGGAATATGTTACATGACTGTTTTCTTGATCTTAATGAACTATTCAAAGATGTACTTAAAAAAATAATATCTTTTTGATTTAGGCTGTGTTTCAGCAAGATCACTAGGTCATAGTTTGTTTAACTATGGATTACTAAATAATAGGGGACATGGAATGGCCAAAGCCACAGACATTATGGCTAGTGTATTGTGTGAACCTAGTTTTACTAAGCTGCAGCGCCATATGCATGATGACTACTTACCTGGGAATAAGTTTCTTAGTGAAATGTAGCATGGCAATAAAAGAGCCATGCAGTTTAAACTGATTATCTATGACTCTGCATCCAGACTTATATAAACAATTCACTTACAGGATAAACAAAGAATATATATTAAAAAAAAATTAAATAAGAGGTTTCAAACTTAGTTTTGAATTAAAAAGGAATCTGTTTCCCAGCACTGTTGCTGAGGATGGATGGTGAGTGGATTCTGGAGACTACCTTTTTTTTGTTTCTAATATGATTTTTCATACAGTAAATCATACTATTACTTGATTAATAAGGGAGAAAGGAGTGTCCATTAAAATAGAGTGTCTGTTAAATATGAATGGGGTTTATACATTATATTTTATGCATCTGTAAAATGGCAAATAGCATTTTATGCACACATAGAAGCATACTGGAGATGGACAGATTTTGCTCATTGCATCCAAAATCTGCTAAAGCAAGTTAAAGCTGAAAAATGCTGCAATTTACAGTTCATTAACACCTGGTGGGCTACAGTTCCATATTTCTGTTAACCCATAGTTTGTTTTATTGAATAAACCACATCTGTTTATTGCATTAAGCTGTAAACCATAATGTACAACCCACAATGGCATCATATAATACATTATTAAAATCAAATTACATCATGACTTATAGCAGTGCATGAATCCAGCTGTTGTGGCTTATTAGGAACTGTCATTGAATCTAAAGATAGTTTGGAATTAGTGCCATTGATTTCACTGTGGCTTACTTTCAATAAAATCTGATCAGATTTTTTTTGTTTATTTACGGTTCTTTTGAAGGAGATGATAACTAGCTACCATATTAATACACTGTATATGAAAGCAGAATGCAGAGACTAATCACTGCTATTAAGAATTGCTCCTGAGTATTACAGAGCTAACACAAAAATACTACTAAGTCTTCCACTGTTTTGTTTACTTTAAGTGAATGTACCCAGTGAACTGATCATGCAATGTGTAATCATGGGCTTAAGGTTAATTAAATTAAACAAATATAATTGTACATTAAACAAATTAAAAAATAAGGTTAATTGAACTTGATAACAAAAAATCATCTATCTCTCCCCCTTACTTTGGGTAGTATTTTCACTTAAAGTTTGGCTTTGATACAGGGAGAAGCAGACATTCAATTTCACACAAATGGTCTTCTGCTTGCTTAACAGGGCTTCCCTTTCCTCCTCCTCTTCTAAACAACCGCATTTCCCCAAATTTTGTCTGGAAGGTCATCCAAGAAGATGCAATAGAGAGATGGGAATCTGTTTGGTCAGCACAATCTGTTCTGCAGGTGGACAGATATAATTGGATATACCCCTTACTTATGATTAAACCAGAGTAAATTAATTAAAGATAGTGTCATATAAGCATAAATATAGTGTCATATAAGCAACATAATCTTTAATTAACCTGGTTGTGCCCTAGGACTTAAAGTGCAATACACCAATTTTTGAGCTGGGAGAAAAATATTCTAGCATGAATCATGTTGTCCCAACAGCCAAGCCCTACTCTTCCTCAGTAATGAGGCTGGTGACTAGTGCTGACTTTATAGTGCTAATGTGAAACTAGGGGATTGGTAGATTCCCCTGGCCTTGTTTCTCCTCCCATCAGACATAATCTGCTGGTGGGAAAAACCATCAACAATTGCTCTTCTTAATATGTGGTGAGGTGAGGTTGGGTGACTGCACACAAGTGTTTAGCTACCTGGTATGTTATTCAACTACTGTAAGAGACTACATGAAGATGCTATGAGCTGGGACCTGCCACTAGGGATATTTCAAAACAGGACTTAATCTGTGTCCAAAAAAAGACCAGCTGAAAAGTCACAGCTACAGAGGAGGGGCATGGATAAAGCAGGAGAGAAGTCTCCCAATTGGGGTTTTTCTAAGGAGGGTTAGACCTAGTTCAGAAAAACCCTTACTGACAGGCTATAGGCCTAGAGGAGAGGTTATGGAGAGCATCAGGGATGCTCCTTCCCTCTTTACCTATACCGCTGATCTGGCACTTAGGCTGAGAAGCACAGAAGAAATATATGGAATAATGAGTGAGCTCTCTCTTCTACTAAGGTTGCAAGGGAATTGCTGACAGCAAATAGCCAAACCAGCAACACCTAGAAATAGCCCACGGAGTATTCAAAATGGCACCCCCCCCAATAAAACAATAAAAAGAACAGCCTTGTGAAATCCCTTGTTGGCAGAAACAGTGGAAAATCTGCAACGCGGTAACTGGTGATAGAATCAGCAACACACAGTTGGCTGAACCTAGTTCCTTTTCCTGGACTAAATCAACCTTCTGTGCAGCACATGTTTAAAGAGCAGGACTAGTATTATTTTAGAAGAGTGTTAAATCCTTGTACAGAATCCATTATATACACTCTGGAAAGCATCAGTCAGGCATTACATGGGCAGATGCTCCCACAGAAGTCTCATGTCTGGTCTTTCCTGCAGCTCAAGGGCAAATGTCCATGGAGGGCAGTGCCCAGCAACTGGAGGGGAGACAACATCTGTAGAGCAGACTAAAGTAGCAGATCTCAGCCCCTGACTGCATGATCAACCACAACATTGATAGTGTGTTAGATGTCCACAGCAAAAAATGTCTGGAGAAGAGGGAGAACATTTCTCACTGGAACAGCTACAAATGGCTGCCTTAATTTAGGCTGGGGAATGTGATGTAGTCAACATCACAAGGCCATGACATACAAGAAAATTTACCGTGGAATGTTCATGCCTCGATTAGGGGGAAATGAGGATGAGTTCTTAATATGCTTGCTTTTTATTCTTAAATCATACCATTTAAGGTATATTTACAACTCAGCTTTATTAGTTAAGCCAGTTTAATTTTCCTGCAATAAAAATGGTAGTATTGGCATTAATATATGGTCTATAGTAATTCTAACCTTCTTCATAGAATGCAGGTTCTCCAAATTCCCTCAGAAGGGAATCACTAGTAAACCACTTTATATTTATGGGATAGGCATGCTCTGTGGTGTATCTACGGACTGAAATCTGCTTCACTGGCTCTAGTTTTGTTCGTTATGTTTTCATCTATAATAAAATCATAAGAATCATCTGTAATTTTTTGAAATGTCTAATATCTAAAATCCACATCTTTTTTGCTTTCTCATTATACTTAGCTGACATCTGGCTACCACAGATTTAAAATTCTCAAGAGGACACAAAATTCCTGCTGTGCTATTTTTTTAACTTGGCAAAGCTCTAGTCTGGAACTTCTGGCAGAGACAGCTTCTGAAGAAATTCTCCTTATTTGTTTTCTACTGTACATTCATTAAAATGAACCAAAACCAAAGAGCAAATCAATGGCAGAAGAAAAGTATATTTAAGAAAAGAGTACGAGCTGTACTTGTGTCATGGATATTTTGATCATATGGTTAAGAACCAAAACTGAAAACAAGCAAAACATAAGAGATGAAGATTTTTGGAAGCAAAGATGCTTACAAACAGGTAAGCGGAGCAGGAAGGAAACGGAGCTATGGAAAGGCAATAAGAGAAGAAGGCAGAATTATGAATACTAGCCAATGAGGTATTTTCTGATCCAGTAATAATAAATAGTACATGATTATATGGTCTATAGAATTGTGCCTCTCTAGGATGGTTCCCACAGATGAAACTCAGTAAGTAGGGCTCAAAAATTCCTGAGACTAAATTTCCAAATGTAAGAACAAATCTATCCAATATTTGTTCTACATTGTACCTCTTGCAGAACCTTCAGGGTGCTATCAGACATCTGAATGGGTCCCAGGTGAAACATTTCCAAAACCGTAGGTATCGTAACTGCAATACAGGATGTCTATGAAAAATACAGTTATGCTGTCATAGATGCCAAAGTCTCCACCAGATTTCCTAATTTAGACAAGCTCTTTCTAAGTAGAATCAAATGACTTCATCTAGAAAGACCTGTGTTAACAGAAAACATACGTTCTCCTTATTTGAGCAGTTAAGTAAATAAATGGATTTGTGCCATTTGCTCTTTCCAGACTTCTAACTCAGAGATGACATGCCTTTGTCCTGGATTAATGTAAAAGAACCTTCCATGCAACAAGGAGAATCAGTGAGTACAATGTTCTTCAACTTTGTTTAAAGGTGAATGAGCCAGTATTCTTAAACTAGAAGCAAGAATTACCAATTCAAAATCCTAAAAAGCTACCACTTGTAAAAGAAGCTTACATTAACCGTGACTCTTGAATTAACACATTCCCTCTGATATTATAATAAATATGCATATCCGTTTGCTAGCAATTTATCTTTTTTGAAGAATGGTACTGTTGCAAGTGAATCAAACCTTTTCCTGTTTTAATCTCTCAGTTTCTCTTGAAGAAAAAACTGATGATCACACACACTGGCAATTGTGATCTAAACAGTTTCCCACAACCTGGTACTTTTCAATTATATAGAAAGCATTATGTACATTGGAATCTAAAAAGAATAAAGTGTGACATGACATTACCTGGCACATTATACTGTTGTCAATTCAACATTTGATTGAAAAATGTTAAAGAAGAGCTAGAGAATGTGAGGTATTCATTTCCTAACTAAAGTACGCCATTTTAGTCTCTTGCATCTGTGAACCACGTGCACTGCAATCTAATATGTGCCTATACAAAATTAACCCTATTGAGGTCAGCGGGACTTAATCACAAATGAATGTATATAGGATTGTTGGCTGGGTAGTTTTCTGTTGCAAAAGCCAATGCATGGGACGATAAATAACTGATTAGTTTGACCTCTGAATTTGCTTACATTTCATCATCGTATCAGTGGCATATAAATGCCTATCATAGAATTTGCATTCAGTTCTGTATTAACTCCTTGTCATGTATTCAGGCTATTGTAGCACATCCAGTATTTTCAGTTACTTAAGTCAGCCCCATAATGAGATAGGATTTAAGAGGAACCCTATCTTAACTGAAGCTGCCATGGAAAAATTTTAAAATATGTATATAAAATATGCCTGGACTGAAGTAGTAGTAAGTCCCCATATGTGAAAAGAAAATATAAAAACATTAACTGGACAGTGAAGTCAGTATCAAACCTGAAGGTATCCCTAAATTTGTTGAGGTGATCAACATACCAAATGGTGAAGGGTTACTCATACGTTTAATATACCCTGAGTTTTCCTTTTCCTTCTAAAAAAAGTTCTCACTTTCTAGCTTTACATTTCCTCTAATGTATCTAGCTTCATTGTGGCAATATTTTTGCATGTTCCTGTGCCTTTGAAAGGGAACAGCTAACTAATTTCCACTTTATTTTAAAACTAAAAATTATGACTAGAGCTAGCAAGGGGCCCTGTTGTTTTAGAGCTGAAAAAAAATAACATCTCCCTTCGTTTCCCCTTTCATCTTCCCCTGTGTTTTCTCAACTTTGAAAAATAAATAAATAGCATGTCTAATCAAGTGTACAGTTTGGTGACCCAAACAGTAGTAGAGCAAAATAACACTTGTCTGCTGACAGAATTTCTTAAAAATAAATAAGCTAAGTTTGGTTCCTCACCAAATTTGATACTTCAACAGTTATTTTTGGGGGTTCTAAAGAGTTCAAATTAGATGAAAATGCTCCTACATCCCATCTGGAGGGCAACGTCAGACATGTTGTTTCCATGTCTGCTTGTTTGCTTTCCGACAGGGCTGCGTAATTCATGGTTGCCCAGAAAGTTCTCTTCAGAAGAGTGCCAGATTTTACCACAGGTCAACCAGAGCAGTTGAGAGCTTCCCCTCCTTGGGCTGTGGCATTACGGAGAGCAAAAATCCTTCTGAGTCCTCAGTGTTAGTGCTATCCCTGCCAACGATATTTAGAGAAAGTGGCTATGTGTGCATGTATATACGAACCCACACTGCTATTTCAGTTTGACTGCCGAACATCAACCCTGTTATTTTCTACTAAGAGTTCATAACGCTGCCTCCAGACTGATGTTTCCAAAGCAGATTCAGAAGCCAGGAAATTTGAAGGGATTAAGATTTCTTTCTTGCAGTCCTTCCCAGGGTGGTTGCCACTGGAATGGAGAACTGCTGCTTCTGAAGGTTGTTCTTTGCTTGGTTGAAAATTAGTCTCGAGTTCGGTTTCTCCTCCTCAGGAAGAAAAAGCTGCTCTTTTGGGGAGGTCCTAATAACATTGGCACTTGGCTTTTGTGGGTTATTTTAATCTGGAAGCAAAAGGATGGAAACCAATGTCACAAAATCATAGAAATGAAAAGGCCTTTGGAGATCATTTAGTACAAGCTTCTGTTTCATACAGGAATTACAATGCAGGAGGCAATAATAATAACTCTAATAGATGCCTGTCCATCTTATCTCAAAACATCTCCAGCAAAGAAGAGCCCACCATGTTCTAAGGCAGTCTGTTCCACTTTTCACATTTATTTTTAGATGTTTCTCCTCCTATTTAACTGAAATCTGCTTCTCCTTAATTTTGACTCATTGCTTTGTCTTCCAATCTGGAAAACAGAGAGCAAGCCTGCTTCTTCATCTGGTTCTCAGTTCTTCAGACATTTGAAGAAGGCATCACATTTCTTCTTTGTATTTTTTTCAGGCTAAATGTATCCAACTTTTTCAACCATTCCTCATTATATTATGATTAGATGACTGCTGTTTCTAGATAGCAACTGTTTCAAGGAACTATGGAAAGGGCAGGGATTTTCTGTTAATTCAGATAACCATTAACTTTTCCCCATTGTCAAGGTCTATTTATGCCAGTTTATTGCTGCTATAAGGACTGGTTCCAACAGAAGACAAGCTGTTTGGAAGAGCTAAATGAAAATAATTATTTCACACATGTCATTTATTTGCAGAGGGAGAAAAGTGGTATCTGCTGAATGTGTCTCTACTACTCTACCATTTAGGACCCTGGTAGCCTTGCTTTTATATGATTTCATCATTTTGTTGCAAGTTCCCCAATCTGATGACCCCAGGGTATTGCATTGGGACTTTTATAATCTCTACTCAGGTGGCAATGTAACATCTCCCTAGAGCACTTGAAGCAATTGTTTTGCAGCTAGGGAGAATACCAGTCTTTTCCTATACACAGCTAAAATGGCACAAGCCTGTCAGGTGTCCTGTTGTTCCTGAGCTAAAGGCCTTTCTCCTATGACCGAAGGAAACCGCTACCAAGCACGATCCGGCTCACAGATCCACCCCCATTCCTGTTGCTTCAGGGAAAGAGAGGATAAGTCTGTCTGGTTCTCTATGGCAAATAAGGAAAGTCTCTGATCAGACTGATTTGGAGATAGCACTGAAAGAGTTCAGCCATTAAGCATTATGAGTAGCTGTGGAGGCAGCAGAGGAAAAGGGCACCTTCTCCACCACAGCCCAGGATGACTCAAGAAGGGTAGCAGACTCTCCAGGAAGGCACATCCAACGTTTCTTGCCTGCCCAGTCAACTGTCGTAAGGAGAGATCCTCAAAGCAATGTGAAGGTTGGGATTAGCATCCAGTGTGATTCAGAAACAGAAATCCAAACCCTAGATATCTCCAGATTCTTGGCACAATTGCTTTTAGGAAAATGTTTACCTAAATGTTTACATGGCTCAAATGTAATCAGAGCATTCTGTTAACTCCTACAACTGGACAGCTGTTAATTCTGCCACAGAAACAAAAAAGGCCTATATGGACATTTGCATGGTGAATGAGAAAAAATATTTCTAGAACTATATTTTTTTACTACTAGTAACAAATGTATACAGGTGGTCCTCGTTTAACAACCACTCATTCAACAACCATTTAAACTTGTTGCAGTGTTGGACAAGGAGGACTTATGACAGATCCTCATAGTTGCAGCCATAGCAGCGTCCCCATGGTCACGTGATTACAATTTGGGTGCTTGGCAACCAGCTCACAATTATGACAGTTGCAGCATTCCACGGTCACATGATTGCAATTTGCGACCTTCCCTGCCGGATTCCCACAAGCAAAGTCAATGGGCTGTGGAGTCCTTGATGCCAATAGAAGAGAATATATGTAGCTCAGGGTTGAACTGTGGAGAAGTCAATGGAGAAAGTCAAAGATGAAGCTGGCAGGAAGTCGGAAGTTGTGGTCATGTGAGGTCCTTGCTTAACAACAGCAACTGGGGACTGCCGTCACTAAGCTGCACAGTCACATGATGACATGCTTTATGACTGCATGTCAGGCCCAGCCCAAGAACAATGATGAAACAGTCCAGTTCAGTCCAGTTCCTTTATTAGCTAACACCTTATAGACAGAATCTTGCTAAACTCAATCTATACTACAGCAACAGGTGGATATACCCTGTGAGATTCTAGGGAGTGGCTATCCTGAACCTCTTTCGCTTTCCATGCTCCTGAGCCTTGATCTCCCACATTACTCTCCTCCTCGTAGATACATTCCATCACACCGCATCACTAAGCGATGGAAATTCTGGTCCCAATTACCATCATTAAGCAAGGCCTACCTACACAGGAGTCCAAAGAGCAATTCTTTTCAGTTTGAATGCTTCTCAGCAAGATATTGTTCTACAGTATTCATCTGCAGATCAGAGAGGACAATTTTTATCCCGTACTGTTCTTCTGAGAGCTAGTTTGGTGTAGTGGTGAAGGAATTAGGCTAGAAACTGGGAGACTGTGATTTCTAGTTCCACCTTAAGACCAAAGCCAGCTGGGTGACCTTGGACCAGTCACTCTCTCTCAGCCCTAAGAAGCAGGCAATGGCAAACCGCTTCTGAAATCTTGCAAAGAAAACTTCAGGGACTTGTTCAGGCAGTCGCCAGGAGTCAACACTGACTTGAAGGCCCACACGTGTGCGTGCGTGTGTGCACACACACCCATCCACTGTTCTTCTAACATGTCTAGCATATCTTCTTTTGATGCTCTGAATACACTGGATAGGCTGAAGGTACACTAATTGCATCTTTAGCCATCTCTAGAATACTACTGAGAGGAACAACAGCCATAGATCTCTCTCCTTTTAACTTCTCTTTGATTTTCCATTAGGAATACACATGTGATTGTCATTGCTGTGAAAAAGCTTGATAATATGACATCAAAGAGATCAGAAGAATCTATCTCCTGAAAACTGTGAAATCTTTCTTTCCTGGGATACTGTGGCTGATTTTGTTTTTTTGTTTGTTTCCATTTGGGATAGAAGCATTATTCTTTTTAAAATAGCCCTTTCCCAGGTTCTGCTACTAAAATCTGGATCTCATCTACAGCTCATTTTCTAAAGGTAAACTTCCCGGAGCTTCATACCCTAGTAAGTGAACCCTTTAAATATCATTCAGACTCTTCTATGTTTCAGCTACTCACTGTACAAGGTGGTTGCATCCAAGGCTCTCCATCCACTTGCATGGGCAACAGTTTGGTTGTCCTGCAACACACAAACAATCTTGTAAGAAGGAAAACAAGTCAGAACTGAATTCTGTCCTGCTCTAAGCTGCCAGTAATGGAATTTGTGCTGAAGAGTGAGATATACAAGATGATGTTAGCTGACACTAGTTGTATTCACTGAATCATGGCTTATGGAATTAACCTAATGTTAAGTGTTTGCAATATACAATGAACCATAAATTAGCTACACAGGATGACCCACATACTATGATCAAATGGATTGGCTAATTTGTAGATCACTTATTGTATGAACACTGCTCTTGTTTGTTAGTGCAGTTAGGATTTCTAGGCAACCACAGAAGCAATAGCATAGGGGCACAAGAGGCATGGTCAATTTGCATGCATCAACCCCACACCTTTATCATTCTTTGCGTAACACATTTAAGAATCTATCATAAGTGCAATTGCAATAAGAGGCAACTGGATTTTATCCAGTATGGTCTTGAGGTGTAATGAGTCTGGGCTCTGTAAAAACTACATGTTTTTCTTTTTCCTTAATGTAAGAGTAGGCACCTTATTCTCCTTTGTAATGCATCAAAAATTCCCCTCTTCTTCAATGGCCCACTTTGCTCCTCATCTCATTCTCTCATCGCCTTTTGTCTCTTTCTAGAACTTGCTGAAATTCTGGGAAAACATAATGCTTTCTAAGCAAAGTGCTTTATTTTATAGGCCTGATAATTTTTTCAGGTCATGGCAAACTACAGAAAATAAAGATTTGGGCTTTAGAGCAGGGTATTAGAATACTACACAGAAGAAAGGGATATCAGAAAGTGCCATGATGCTTGTCGCTTAATATAATAACTTGCCAAATTGGGGCAAAAATTCTTATTAGAACCAAAGCCCCAAAGTAGGTACCTGATAGCAACAGAGGAACACTGGGCCAATCTCTTGCCAGCACTTTTCAATCCAGTATAGATCTGTCCCATTTCCATTGCCCCTTCAAGACCAACAACTTCCAAGAGCTGATCACTAAGATCTAATGCAAAAAAGACAGATAATTATTAAATAAAGAAATGTGTGGTCCTTATATTGTGTTTAATGCAAAGTTGAAGGTTGCTTATACTGCAGTTTTTCATGTAGTGCCCATGGACATCAGTGCACTCATTTGCAAGCTTCTAAGACCTCCTGATTATGTTTTAAATTATAATTGTTTTAATGGAAAAGTTGGTAGGATAGGTCTCTCTCTCTCTCCCTCCCTCCCTCCCTCCCTCTCTCTCTCATCATTGGAGGTGGTAATAGTAAAAATCCAGAAAGGCTACAGGAGATGGTGAGTTGCATGCAAGGTTTGCCCATCTGTGTGTGTGCATCTGAACTGATGTTTTACCTGGCTTCACCAGTTCACCTTCTGACATGGGAACTTGTGATTGGTGAAGAAAATGTGATTTAGCTTGGGGGCTCACATCTTACTTCTGTTACTTGGCCAGGTCTCTGAATTTTACTGTATCTGTCTGCATTTTGGGAAGTGGGCATTTAACTCCACCAGGATGGCATTCATTTCACGAATGGGCAAGACCTCCTTTGCTTGACTGTCATTCTGCTCATATGTCAATCACACTCCTACATTTCCAAATGAATCCACTGTCTTGAAAAGATTGGAAACAAATGTTTGAAGGCAATGTTTAGAGCAGTTCTTTGTCAGCCTCATATTTTATTGGCAGAAGTTTCCAAGATCATTCAAAATACTCAGATAGCAGGTCTATAAAAACACCTGTCTTTTGAAAGTTATTACCAGTATGTGGAAGCTACACTGGTCAGTGATTGGATGGGATGCTACTTGTACCTACTTCTATGCTAGTTTGAGTTCCCTGGGGAAAAAAAAAAGGTAGTATGGGGGTAGTATAAGAAGCATACTAAATTTGTGAATAGTCTGAGTCAGTAAAAGGTAGTTTTATTTGCCCATCTTATAATGGAAGTCTTGGTTAACTCAGGAGTAAATTTAGTGCTGGTGCTAAATTACTATGGACCGTCTCCACATTTTGCTTTGGAATGAGTTGGATTCAACTCTCACTTCAATTTTTTCCAGCAAAGCTGACCAGTAGTATTCAGTCACAGGCACTGTAGGAAGCTCTGCCACTTGTTATCCAGCGATGCCATGTGCACTGCCTATGGGTGTTTTTGACGCTCAAGTGAGCATGTTCCAAATATAATTCCATTAAAAATGGCTTTATTGGGAAAAGAATCACACTGTGAGGGAAGCACTTCCTTGGAGAAAAGGTGTGGAGATCAGAAGCAAAGTAACAGGGGCAACACTTCTGCTTTTGACAGCACTTTTTGTGCAGATTCTATTCATTTTCAGAGGGATTTGTGAAGTTGGTGTTTGGTGCCATCCAAGAGTATTACCAAATGCACAGATGTTATCAATTTGCGGTTTCAAACACAAATGTCTTCCCTTAAAAAGGCACTATTTGAGTCAAGGATAAAACTTTTTTTCAGTACTCAGAATGATGATGCGGCTAAGGATTAAATAAATAGGCTTTGCTTCATCTCTTTGGGTTCTTCATTTGGCAAATCCTCCTGTGGATATACATGGTTTCCTTTTTGTTGTCTTTGCTGTGCAAAGGAAAAAATGAAGCATGGATTAAAAATGAATGACAAACAAGGAGAAACAAATGTGAAAACAAAGCAAGCTGGAGGCCTTTGTCTTTTGAAAAGTAGACATTTGGCCTATCCCAGGATGAATCTGCAGTGCTAAAGCTGAAGTCATTTCTTCTTTTGCAGGACCCCAAACCAGCATATTTAATTCCCCCAAACTAAGTCCTGCCTGCAAGACTTCGAAAATAAGCACTGGTGGCCTCAAATTATTCTTTCTTCTACTCCAGGAAAACCTTTGGAATAATGGATTCATCTCTGAAACATGGGTACAGTCTTTAAAGGGATTGGTGGTCCCTTTCACATTTGAGTGAATTCCTCCAGTCCCTGAGTTAGCAGAAAAACAAGCCAGTGTAATATGTGCTGCCCTGATGGCTGAGCTCTAACCTGCGTCAGCAAGAAT